AACATGTGACATAATAAACACAAATAAAAATGCAGTTAAAGTTAATGGTATTTCAAAATACTTTGCAGCTAAAGTTTAAATGAAAAGTTAACCATACACGTACTCAAAATTGCCTTTTTTTGTTTGTTTTGATTTGGGTTTTTTTTCCCTCCTTTCAAATCTATGAAACCTTGGTTAGCAGAAAGTTGGTAGAAATTTTTAAAGAATACCAAGAGGATATATTCTTGCTGGATTTAAGTTTTTCTTAGTGTTCAGTTTTCTAACAGTCGTGGGTTTTTTCTCTTCCTTTTCTCCCTATTGCTTTCTTTTTCTCAAAAAGATAGGAACGACGATAATGTAAACAAGATAAGCTGCAACTGAAAATAATACCACAGTTTTAAATCCCTACTAGTATGAGTTATCAAACAGAAAATGGAAAGCTGGGCAAAAAGGTGAAGTACTGGATCTTATTACTGATTCTCTCATTTAATTTATTTTTCAGATATTGAAATATTTTAATGTACAAAAAATACGGATATCTGCAAGTGAAGAGTACAAATCACACACAGCATCTTGTGCATGAAGTGTCTTACATATGTAAATGTATGCAAACCCGAGACTCAAATTTCACAGGCAGTCTCTGCAGACAGAGTGATGAACTATGTAATTCGCAAGGTGAAATCTATTTTATTTCTCTTCAATATCCAAAGGGTACTTCAGCAAGCTGCTTCTCACTGTGGTGAAAGACCAGTACCAGTAAGTCTCAGCAGTGTTTTATATGGGAGCTAAGGCAGGAAAGGATCGTGGTCCTACAGGGTACAGACCTCTCAACGCTTTTTTGTCCCCTAAGCATGTATGGTGTGCCACATGGCAGAAAAGGGATCTCCTCTGATCACGCAGCAGAAGAGAGAAGGATGGCTGGTCACTGGGTCACATCAGAAGGGCAAGGACTAACCCCTCAAGTCACACCATATACAACATTTCCCTTCTCCAGGCTTCAGCACAGAGCGCGGCACACAGCAGGAGGGAAACCGAGAGGCTCCGCACCACCTTGATTTCAATGCAGCATCCCAGGCACTGCTGCGAGCCACCAGCTGCCTTGCTGGATGCAGCATGACCCCCCCATACCGGTACTGCTGTGGGGACAGACACAACTAAGGAACAGCAGCATGACGTGGTTGTCAAATGAAAATGTCTTGTGCAGAAGTGAGAGACTCGACAAATCTGATCACAGCGTATGCTGGAAGAAACTTCACAATTCGTGAAGTCATTCTGGTCCATAATTAACTGAAAATTAATTACAGAATCTTGAAAAGAGCATAAACCAAAAATGGGCCAGCATACCTTCATAGTGCAGTTGCTCACTCTGAATCTCTTCCAATAATTAAGTCTAGCATATGGCACTGGATTTAAAAAAAAACAACAAACCAAAACCAAACAAAAACCAAAACAACAAACCACGACTCCCAAAAAAGTTATGGAATCCTACTTGCTGAAGGGATATGTTTGTCCACAGTGCACACACATACTTCCTAGGAACGAGAAGGATGAATCAACGTGATATTTGGCATCCTCAGCTTTGCAGAAATTACAGGTTGCAGATGCTTCTTATCAAATCAAAACAAAAACTGAGAAAAGAACATAATTAGGTAAATTATTTGCTGACTTGATGAATAATTTTCTAAAGATTATTAGAGGATATAAGAGCTTGGAAAATGCTCCAATTTTTCAACAAACAAAAGGAGGAGGGAAACAATAAAACTGCCAAGTTAATTTGGTTGAGCATTCATGAAAAGGTGTATTTTGTATCACTGAATTATACATATTTTTTAAAAGGTGCTTAAAGAATGGCATGCTGCCACACATCAAAACATTTAAAAAAAAAAAGCATACTGGGAAGTAGAAGATATGTCATCAAAACTAACTTGTAACACTTTAACACAGTAAACAAAAGAACATTTAAAAATATTGAGAAAGAATACAACCAAAAGAAAAAAACAAACCCACAAAGAAAAAAGATCAGTAGATTAATCAGAGATTGTGCAAAAATATGCTGCAGGAAGCATGCAAACTCTCTTTCTGATTCCCAGTTTTCCACTACAGAGATTAATATCTTTGGTAAGAGTAGAAAGACAATCCTAAACTTTTAAATTACAAAATTTGCTTTTTAACCCTCTATTGCAGTAACTGGGAGGAGCTGGGTGGCAGCCTTGGGTCTTTCACTCCCATCTGTAGACAGGGAGAGCTGCAAAGGAGAGCCAAATTCTTTTCCAGCTCGTGGGCGATAGGACCCTCTTCCCTAAGGCACATGTCTTCTAGATCAACTGGAGATTGTTTGGTGGGTTTTTTTTTCGTTTGTTTGGTTTGGGTTTTTTTGTTTCTTTGTTTTTGTTTTTTAACAAGGGAATAAAACACTATAATTATGCACAAGTGGAAAAGAAATGTCCACAGCTTCAGCAACTTGCACACATTTCAGTCCTAAGCTATTCCTATGACCCTTCTGCATATCATCTTACTCTTATTTCTCATGAACCAAATACACAGGCATCTCTGATATGGTTTGGTTTTTGTGTTTACCTTTGCTTCCATTTGGAGGGTAAGAGCTTAAATTAGATCTGCTGCACAAAGAGCACAGCACCGTGCAGTGTGACTCAGCTATAGAGTACTATACTGCAAATAGGACTTAAACTAAATTGCATTTATAAATTCATTTTCCTCCAGCTCCTTACTGATCACACTGCTTAACAAAATACCTGCACATTTTGCCTGGAAGTCCAAATTAGAAACAGGAAAAAGTCCATTTTTTTCGGAGTAACATATATTCTTGGCAAAACTAGGCTGACCACATGAAACTATAAGCTACAGTGTATCTTGAAAATAATATGAACATACTCGGTCTATTCAAGCTAATTGTGAAAAAATGTTATTTGAAAGAAAACCTTGGAAATTCATACGAAGAGAAAGTTACTGTTTTCAAATATGCATGAATATCTCTTCTTGCCATTTCCATGTCCTTTTTTCGTGATGACCTTCACCATACCAGAAAGCCCCTGTAACAGCGTACAGAAGTTCCCAAAATTAAGTCTGAAATGCTGTGTTGCTCCTCCATAGATGCCCAATGCAAAGCTCACCACCGCAAAGATGGACAGCCTAAGCAGCAAATGGCCTTAAACCGCCCGCATTTCCTGCCAGACCTGGGCTGGCTCAAAGGCTGAAAGGTCTATTAGCATAATCTGGCAGCCCTTGAGGCCCTCTAAACAGTAACAGCTGTCTCTGGGCTGCAGGCACTTTAGCTCTGTCTGGCAGTCCTCCCCCTCTGCCTCCAACCTGGCCTTTCTCTCCTGGATCACGAAGAGGTAGGCCATCATATTGCACTGACATCCAGAGCTGTTCCCCCACTATCTCATTCACGGCAGTGATGGAAGGATCTTTTTATGCCATTTTAGCTCCTTTATGTGGCATAAAGGGATCAAATCAGGAATGAGAATTTCACCTTAGTTTCTCCACATGAAGAAAATCACCAAAACTGCAAAGCTCAACCACGCGCCAGCTGTACACTGCAGAGGCAGACTTGGCCTTCTAGGTCATTAAATGCAGATCACTAACTACAATTTCCAGCAGACTACCAAGCTTCAGCACAAGGGAAGATTTTTCAATGCATTCCTCATATTCAGCATTCTAGCCAATATTAAAAAAGAAAAGCCGCCCCCTCAAGCAAAGTTTACCTCCTCCCTTGTCTTTTTGCAGATGACGCTGTGTGAACACATCCTTTGAAACACACTAGGAAATCACAGCGATGAACTCATGACATTGCAGACAAAGTGTCACGTGTTGCTGTTTCCAAAGGTTATCAAGTCAGATGGCAGCCCTGTATTTTGCTTGAGTGCTAAGGACACACGCCTGTCCCACAAGGTAGGCTTGCAGGAGCTCTGGTGGTGCTTATTAAAATCGGGAAAGGGGTTGAAAGAAGTCTTAACAGGGCTACTCTCCCCAAAAAGGTAAGAAGCGGCTTGCTTGATTATTTCTGCCAGGAGACAAGACAGAAAAAGAAGTCTGGGAGGTAGAAATAGGTACCAGGCAGCAGGCAGAAACTAGGATTTTGCATACAACCTATGAAAGACAAGCAGCTAAATCTGTCTGTAGAACTAAACTAAGCTACTAGGAGAACAGGTCCAGAAGGATAAAAAGCAAATTGCGAGATAGGAAATGATTTGGAGGAATTAATGTGACCATGTTATATTTTCTGGAACAGCGAACACACTGTAAGGGAAGGGTCACTCTTTGCATCGGGGAAAGGACCTGCAGCAGTATCCACCAAACCCCCACTCACAAGCAACATAACAAACCTAAGAGCGATGGGAAAAAGTGATTTGTAATACAACTTGCTCAGGTGATGACTTGAAACAAGATGCCTGCTGAAGCACCGCCAGAATTGTGTAGACATTGCAATTGAAGAATTAAAACAACATAAAAAACTGTTTGAAGTTTTGCTATCATACTGTTTTCAAAATACTTTTGATAATTATTAAGAAAAGGTTTTGCCTTTTTGTTGTTGATATATGAACAACAGAGTAACATCGTCAAAATTATTGCATATCCAGTTGCAGAAATAAATCAATATAAATGCTGAATAAGCAATAAAAAAAACTTGAGACGTTTTCACTGGGTGTGAATTTGCTTACACGATGGTGTAAAACATTTTTCAGTATTTGAGAGAATGCTCATCACCCAAAAAAAAAGCATGCAATAATTGAAACCTTAACACTTTCAGCTATGAGATTTCACTAAAATTACTGTCATCATAAAACACCCACTTTTCTTTTTTCTGAGCTATAAAATACATATCTCCAAAACCTGATTTAGAATGACAATAGAGTTTATTAGCTATTAAGCATTCCTTCAGGATAATTCCACCTTAAACTTTCGAGATTATGCAGCTGCCAGAACTATAAAAAGGCTTCACATTTCCAATGTTTTTGCCTAATCAAATTAAAAGACCAAACTATTAATATTCTGCTTACCTCCTAAATTCATTCCAGCTTGCAGACATTTCTGTAATCGACAGGCTGGGCAGTTCTTCCTCCGAATCTTATCAATTATGCAGTCATTCCTTCCCGCACACAGGTAATTGTGCTGTCCTGAATGAACCAAAACCAAAACGCATTATTAGAGGATGTATTTACATAATTCCAATTCACTCTTCTCTGTTGTTTTGCAGTCATTTTGAGCTTCTTATTAATGCAGGCATT